AATGTGTTGGTTAATGCAAATAAGTTGTGTATGAACATCATTTATACGAAACAGGGCTGGACTCACATATCTCTGAATTCAGAGCTCTATCACAGCACATGAACACAAGATATATCCGCCGTATGGTGGTCTCGTGAAATGATTATATATTTATATAAGAACAATGTTTCCCTTACAGGCAAGGCAGGTTAAGTTTCACCCTAACCCTTTATATATTCAGTCACAAGGCAAATCAGAGTGCTTCACACAGGCATAGAAATACATAAAATATAGGAAAACAATAAAAGAAGACATAAAGAAAATTATAAAATGGCATTTAAAAGACAAAACAATCAAATTAATAGATGCTGATTAAGAACATGTTGCACGTCATTTAATGATATGCCACAGTAAAAAATAATGTTAGACCTGAGGTATTTGTTCCACCAGTGGGGAGCAGAACAACTACCACAAAGTTTACAACATGAAGTAAAGTACTTATTGTCTGGTACGCCTGTCGTTGAACTGGTACTGGAAACAGTTGCGTGGGTCGTTTTGGGGAATGGTCACATATATACACAGTGTCTCACAAAGCGAGTACACCCCTCACATTTTTGAAAATATTTGATTATATCTTTTCATGTGACAACAGTGAAGAAATGACACTTCGCTGGTTATTTTGGGGGGACAGCTAATTTACACTGTTACAAGCTGTTTAACACACCTGCTCCCCGTTCACACCTGAGACCTTGTAAAACTAACAAGTCACATGAAACTGGGGAGGGAAAATGGCAAACTGGGCCCAATTTGGACATTTTCACTTAGGGGTGTCCTCACTTTTGTTGTCAGCGGTTTAAACATTAACGGCTGAGTGATGTGTTATTTTGAGGGGACAGCAGATTTACACTGTGATACAAGCTGTAAACTCACTACTTTACACTGGAGCAAAGTGTCATTTCCTCAGTGATGTCACATGAAAAGATGAAGTCAAAGATTTACAAAAATGTGAGAGGTGTACTCACTTTTGTGAGATACTGTATATTATTTAGCACTGCCATGTATCAACATGAATATTAAAAGCATCCACTATAACAACACAGTTCATATCATTACACACATCAAACAGCAGTTTAGCAAAGTCATCAAAAAAGCATGCACTATATTTTGGGGCCTGTAGATGGTTACTAATATTACTCTGCAGGAGGATCTCAACATATTCAAAACAGTGACCTATAGTCTTTAAATATTATTTAGATCAGAAACATGCGTAATGTGAACATATATATTACATGACAAGTCCCTGAGCTAAACTCCCCTGTCTCGCCTAGAACAACATTGGTTATTTTCTCCTGTCCTTGTTTACTGTCCCTCCCCCCCGATTTCAGCCATCACAGCAGGAAGCTACAGTTTTTAAAGCCGCCGTCGTCCGCATGACAAATATTACAAAGTTTATTGTAAAAACATCCTAATGGCTGTATCCAGTGCGTGAAATCGCTGCGTTGCCAGTGGCCAGTCACACAGTGAGATGGATGTTGGTGAGTTATTATTCATGGCTGCAGTCTGAGGACAGTGCACTAATCCAGGGGCGGGGAGATGCACATAGTTCTTATCATGATGAGGCTGGGGCATTAGATAAGGAAAAGGATAAATATAGTGCTCGTGCTTTGTTTTCCTAATCCACCCACGGGGCTAAGAAAGTAACCTTTTTAAATAGGTCACCTTCTCTGCTTTTAGAAACGAACGCACTCAGGCTTTCTGTGTCCACTGGCTCTGAGTGTGTGCTGTCCTTTGTAGGAGCCAGTTAGGGTTTGGGATGTTCAGAGTGACGGCAGTTTGTCACCTAAAGGGTCAGTCACTTTACCCGAATCATAAAAAAACAAAACAATGGACGATTAAAAGACGTTACTTTGTGTTCACTTTTATTATCACTCCAGTCGTGTCTGACCTCAGTGATGTAGCTGGTGAATAAAATGTATCAGGAAGGATTACCAGAACTAACGTGCTTAGTAAACTCAAACATATGCTCCTAAATCTTATGTTACGTCAGGTTTATCCAGAGGTCAGAGGTGTTAAGTTGTGCTTTTTAGAAGTGGTATTCTAACTCTCGCTGTTGAAGTTGATATACTCAAAACTACTTTTGTGGATTGTGTGACAGAAAGAGGAAGTGCACAGCCTACAAGGACTTATGTCGGGTTCAGACGCCATGATATCAGCCCGACGAAAAGGACAGTTGATGTTTTATCCCGTGTGGTGAGTCAGAGTGGTGCTTGGACAGAAAGCAGAGAGCGCGACAATGCTTCTATCACTGAGTATGACTAATTCCACGACGAGTTTGGTGATGTTGACCAATAGGAGGACAGAGTGCTCTTCACCTGTGAACACGGTGGTGCAGCATGGTGGAACGAGGTGTGAAAAAGCTCACAGCCGTCTTTTCGTATGCCATTTTTGTGGTTCCTGGAAGTCGACAAGCTGTGATTGGTCAGGGACCGACATGTAGTTTGTCGTGTCTCTCGGCCGAGTCACGGCTATAAGTTAGTGCTCTATAATAATCTGATACAGGGACAGACAGAAACTGTGTAGTCTGAACCCGGCTTTGGTGACAGCTAAATTCAACTGAAAGATCAGAATCTGTCATTTTGTTTCTTTGTGTTATAAATGAGAAGTTATTGATGAAAATAAAAATATAAAGTGTGATTTCAGAGGATGAACGTGTTGGTGAGCAGGACGACAGAACAGGGAAAGACTGGGGGTCTTTACAGCACAGAGAAACACGAGTGTTGTGGAGGTAAAGAAAAAACCCAACCATCTCCTTCAAAGCCAGCAGGAACAAGGACACATCCAGAGAAACAGCAGAGTGCAGAGTGTGGCCCCGGGGGCCCGACCCTCCCCCCACAGAGGAGAAGAGAGAGTCGGACACAAAGGCAACAAAAAGAGAAGAAATGAAAGAGTCCGTGGATGTCATCATGTGAAAGCAGGTCTTTGTGCTCGGGCTGTAAGGAAATGCATTTGTGTGCATTAAGGTTGTTAGAAAACGATGCAGTGACCAGTCGTGTGCTCACATGTGCTGCTGCTGCCGCCTCAAACACACACAGAGGGTCTGATGTTACGTAAGATTATATAAGAAGAGAACGAGAGACATGAAAACAGGAGAAAGAAAATATCAATCACAAAATGAAATGTATCCGACACGTCCTCGTCCCGCACATGCAAACTCAGAGGGCATGAAACCATGACATGTTTGGGAAGAAAATCTTTGTGATTTTAACATGTAAACGAAGTATTCTGGTGTACTGTGAGCAGAAAATAAATAAAAGTATTTTTGAACTGTCCATTTGTGTCTGGTTTTAGCTTCAAAGACGTGATGGCTGCAACATTGTGTAAAACAAATTAACAAATTACTGTTGAGTGTTCCCCCTGAGATGGATTTAAAGCACTGGAGGTGAAGCTAATGTTATTGTGTGCTTGCAAAGTGCACCCTGCTTTATATCTGGATATAAAATACCAACACAACAAAAAAAAACTTGGGGGTCATCCTAAACCACAAATAGGTCAAATGTCCCATAACAACATGTACAAGCTTTGGCAAGTACCAGTCCAGGGACAGGAGTACTGGACCTTCAATACATTACCTAAGTGACATTCATCACGTGGTAAAGGTTGTGAAATGTCCATCCTCACCAGAGAAACGGCGGTGCAGGTCGATAACGCAGCAGCTTGTTACGACCCATATTTATTGACTAGTAGTGATTAACTGAAGGCTAGTTTGTCATTTAGGTCTGAGGATGTGTTGAACCATATGAGCTGGACCATAGTTGGATGTATGACACATGAATAAAAAGTAAACTTTTCTTTAACCTGCTGCTAACACTACGTTGTTTTCATGTAATAGTTATTTTTATACTTTCAATTTGGTCTTTTTTACTGTCTAAATTAAATGTTGTTGTGCAACAAAGTTCATCACATTTCATCCATTAAACTTTATTTAAAATCGACAAAATTGACAAAATAGGAATGTAAGAACTCAGAGGCAAATATTTTAAGCGCAGTACATGTATCTGCAAGCTGTAGTTATTATATTATATTATCTTAAAATATATGATGCATTGTTAATATTAAACTACCAACAATATAAAGTATAAAGTATTGTAAATCATAGCTCTGTCTTTTGATAACATTTCTATATATGCTCATGCTTGTTAATATTGTTGTTTTATATAAACTGCATTGAAAGAAACAAGGATTTTAAAACAGCTGTGAAATAAAATATATATACATGGACACAAAACTGTCTTATTGTCTTGTGCCTCTCTACACATTCACATACAGAAAAGTGTCTCTGCCATCAGAAACAGAAACAGAGACACGTTCACAGGTTAGGGTTCTTGCCCAAATGTCTAAGGTTACTTTGACATACAGACTGGGGAGTCAGGGATCGAACCACCGATCTTCAGATAAGTGGAGGACAAATAAAAACCAAATCGTGGTAGAATGACCCACTGGATGTAGTTGCAACACATACATGGATGAACAGCCACAGTTTCATTAAAGATATTATATATTGTGCCGTCTGAGTGGAAATATGTATATAATGCTGCGTAATGCATGCATGCAAAAAAGAAATGCAATAAAGACATGATTTTATATAGAAATGCTGATTTGGTTTCATTTCTGCATGGGAGAAAGGAAAATAATATTGGAACAGAAATTTTGTGCGGAAATAAATCAGGTCGGGATGAGTGGTGGTTAGATAACTGAGTGCGTTTACTTTCATTAATATTACAAGTATTAGTACAAGTTGGACAAATAGTATTGTAGCTAATCATGAAGGTTACAGCAGGTAGCCTAATTTCTTTCTCTCTCGTTTGTCCTTCTAATGATAAAATGACCAAAAAATTCAAATCGGAACTCTTTATACACAGTATGACCAGTGCGCGCGCTTGGAAAATAATCGGAGCGCGTGTCAGAGAGAAAGGGAAAGAGAGAGAGAGGGGGGAGAGAGAGGGGGTTAGGATGACAGCTTGTCTCACATCCACAGACATTTTCAGAGGCAGCTAAACGGTCTGAACAGCACTTTTGACGTCAGGAATAATCATTATACAGCTTTCTCTCTCATCCGGGTCTTCTTGTCCTCCTCTTCTCTCGTGCTTTTAACATTTAGTTCATCCACAGCAGCGGCGGCTTAGAGCCTTAACGACAACCACAGCAACACAAATGCATACATGTAAAGAGGAAGTGCGGCTGGAGGAGCACCGGCCGTGAATCCACCAGCTCCGATCTGCTGCAGGTTATTGTTTCACTTTTTGTCTGCCCTGAAATATCGGAGAGGATGTTTGCGTTCCAGCTCAACAAGTCTCTCTTATTTTTCACACATTAACTGTGGATGGCTGCGGAATGGAGATAGCCTTGGTGAGTTTTGAGAACGGCGGCGCTAAAGGGAGCGGTGGCGGCGGCGGCGGGAACAATGCCGAGGAGAGCTGCCGGAACGCGCTGAACGTTCCTCAGTCGGGCTTCGTTCAAACTGGGCTCGGAGAGGACTACGGTAAAGAGCTGAATACCCGGGGGAGTCCTCAGCAGCATCATCATCCTCAGCAGCAGCAGCAGCAACAGAGCTCCTGGAAAATCAACGACATGAACAACACTTTCAGCTGCAGCGAGAACGCCATGGATGCGCTTTTACGCGCGGACCACAGTCCCCATCTGTTCGACGAGGACATGCTGGACATGGACATGGACACGGAGAGCAACGAGAGGGTGCTCATCAACATAGCAGGGCTCAGGTACGAGACCCAGCTGGGCACCTTGAACCAGTTCCCTGATACTTTACTGGGAGACCCCGCCAAGAGGATAAAATACTTTGACCCGCTCAGGAACGAGTACTTTTTTGATCGCAACAGACCGAGTTTTGATGGGATTTTGTATTTTTATCAGTCGGGAGGGAAAATCAGGAGACCTGTCAATGTGTCAATTGATGTGTTCGCGGATGAGATTAGGTTTTATCAGCTGGGGGAGGAGGCCATGGAGAGGTTCCGTGAGGATGAGGGGTTTATAAAAGAGGAGGAAAAGCCGCTGCCTCAGAATGAGTTTCAGAAGCAGGTCTGGCTCATATTTGAGTATCCGGAGAGCTCCAGTCCGGCGCGGGGCATCGCCATCGTGTCTGTGATTGTCATCACCATATCCATCATCACCTTCTGCCTGGAGACGCTGCCAGAGTTCAGGGATGAGAGGGAGCTGCCGGTCACCAGCCGGCTGGACAACAGCACCGCGGTCCGGCCGTCCCTCACCTTCACAGACCCCTTCTTCATCATAGAGACCACGTGCGTCATTTGGTTCACTTTCGAGCTGTTCGTGCGCTTCTTCGCGTGCCCAAGCAAGTCGGAGTTCTCCAAGACCATCATGAACATCATCGACATCATGTCCATCATGCCTTACTTCATCACAGTGGGCACGGAGCTGGCGGAGCAGCAGGGTCAGGAGCACCAGAACGGACAGCAGGCCATGTCCCTGGCCATACTGAGGGTCATCCGTCTGGTCCGGGTCTTCCGGATCTTTAAGCTCTCCAGACACTCCAAGGGCCTCCAGATCCTGGGGCAGACTCTTAAAGCCAGCATGCGGGAGCTCGGCCTCCTCATCTTCTTTCTCTTCATCGGAGTCATCCTCTTCTCCAGCGCCGTGTTCTTTGCTGAGGCGGACGAGCCGGAGTCCCACTTCTCCAGCATCCCCGATGCCTTCTGGTGGGCCGTGGTCACCATGACCACCGTCGGCTACGGCGACATGAGGCCGGTGACGGTGGGGGGGAAGATCGTGGGCTCCCTATGCGCCATCGCCGGTGTGCTCACCATCGCGCTGCCGGTGCCGGTCATCGTATCAAACTTCAACTACTTTTATCACAGAGAGACGGACCAGGACCAGTCCTCGCTGAAGGACGAGCCGAACAGCGTCCGAGCGAGCCCGGAACTGAAGCGCAAAGAGAGTAAATCATCAGCCAAGCAGGACGCGGAGAACAACGACGGGGCCGCTTCTGTGGAGAAGGCGAATATCAAAGCCAACAGCAGCATGGACTTCAAGAGATCCCTTTACGCATTCTGCTTGGACACACGGGAGACGGACCTGTAGTCCCGCAGTCGTCTTCCTCACTTTTTAAAAACTATTAAAGCCCATAGTTGTGTAGAATAAACCCCTATTAATGGGCTCTTAAGTCTTTGCACATAGCAGTCGGAGGATCAACACATTGTAATCCTGAAAAGTTTTAAGAGCGATGGGGGTTGATTTATTAAAAGCACATTTTAATCCCCCTCCTCTGGTAAGCACATCAGTTAGTGGAATAAAACGGAGGAGTTATGAACAATCCACAGTGCATGCGATGCAACACAGTAGCCCTTTAAAGTAGGAACACCTAAAGAACATTAAATGAAACTCATGGAGAAACCAGTGCGAAAAATAGGACATGTAGCCCGTCCTGCAGATAATCAAGGACAGGCTGAACTTGGAATAATTACTTGACATCCCGAGAGGATTACCAGGGGACCAACCAGACTCTTGTACATATTGTAGGAAGCAGTCCATATTCAGTAGTTCAACAAAAGAAAAAGCCAAATTTATCTACCCTACATTTAGTCATTATGTTTACACTGAAAAGTTGCAGCAAACATGTACATATTTCCCACAGGCCTAACTATTTATGAATTGGATTATGCTGTTATTGTAGATTTGGAGAAAAAACAAGTATATTTTTGAGACGCAGACACCTGTACTCCTCCACTCAGGTTCTGTCAAAGAAGAGATTCTTTCCCTTTTCTAAATGAGAGTGGATTCACTCTCAGAGGACCTAAAAGAGAAGATTTTTTTTGATGTTGAACGACAGCCTTGTTTATGATAATTTTATTAAAGAACATTTTTTTATTTTTCAAAAAAAAGGACATAATATGGAAGTAAACTGAGGGAATGACAGCCAAGAAAAGAGGATAGCGCAGAGACCATCTGGAGAGCTCAAGCAACACAGATGCCAGGTTAGTGTCAAAGAGAAATATATGAGATTATCTGTGAGCATATTTTGGGTTTAAAATTACTTTTTATTTGATAGAAAATCATGGTAATGATCAGCTTTGTGCAGATAAGGAGCTGGTTTTGGCACTAATGTTTCCCCACAGTCTCCAACTGGTGCTGAAAGAACAGCTCGTCCATGTATGGAGTAACACTAGTGACAAAATGAAACGGTGTCTCAATTCGGATACTGTTAATATACATGTAGTACACAGTGTACTTACTTGCGTAGTGCGTACATTGCAGTAGCTTTGTCTCAAAATAGAACTATAATATGCATATAATATAATAGAAGATACTTATCGTCATCATGTGACTGCGGTTGTCATCCGCAAAAATATCTGCTGGCTTGTTTGCTCACTTGACATCAATAAATTATTATTTTTAAATAATAAAATAAACGTACTTATAGCTTCCTCTGGTGCCATTTTCACAAGTATGAAAATATGTTGGTGGTCCCTCCCTTCCACTACGTAGCCAAGATGGCGACCGTTGAAGTGTTCAGCGTTCAACACAAAACTTTTTGACCATTATCAGTAGACCATCTGGGTACTCACAGTGAACGCACTTTTGAACTCAAAATAGCAAGTGTGAGTACTGAAGGACGTGAATTGAAATAAAGTGCCGTACTCAACACAGAAAATCAAAATTGCGATTTGAAAGAACGCCATTAGCTAATCGTCGAAGTTTTAAACAGTCGTGCAGTTACAGATTGGTTAGCAGGTCTATCACACAAGGATGACAACAGAATCAATCACAAGCGCCATGCGGCTCCTGTTATGATCCTACACAGCAATCAGATCGGGCACAGGGTGTGTACATTTTACAATGGCGTCAGCCAAACCGACACAGGCAGCGGCCGTAACCGTTTTTTGTGTCCGGCGTCAACTCACACTGATATGCTTTCAGCAGAGCGTTTAGCTGCCCTATCTTGTTGACGTGCTGTTAATTTGTCATTTTGTGTGCTTCAACTACGGATAACAGCTCTCTGTGAGCCCGTTCCGCTCTGCTCTCTGCAGGCTACATATCCCACATTTCAGAATAAGAGGGTTTTTTTCCTGCCTAATGTTGCTGACTTGTTCAGATTTTGTTAATTTGTTCAGCTGTCTTTGATTTTTGTGCTTCTATTGTGATTAGGTAGGCTACATAGTTTAATTGTTTCTCATTTTCTCTGTTTTGTTGATATACGAACAGGAGTCTGCACAGGGTGTTTTATTTTGAAAATGAACTGGTTTCTCTATGCCGTTCTGTGTCTGACTTCCTGCCCGGTTCATCTGTTTTGTGCTGCTCATGGTGCTGCTTGTGTGGCTTCTGTCAAAAATAGCAGTAAATATTGAACTTTAGCTGACCTTTTTCTTTAAAAAAATCGTGAATCGTAATCGCAATATCTGGCAGAACAATCGCTATTACATTTTTACCCAAATCGTTCAGCCCTAGCCCTCGGTAACCTTTAGTGTCGATTTTGGACTGTGGGCTCTGCGGTCAAGTTAGCAACCGTGCAACATCCAGTTAGATTTTCAAAATAAAACTAGCCTTAATGTTGTGAAACGTCACAATTTGGTTAGGGTTACGTACTGAAACTACTTAGGGTTAGAAAAACATCATGGTTTTGGGTTAAAAAAAACCAACATAACTTATTAAAACAATCAATGTAGGCTTTTTGTTTCACACGGGAATTGAACACCGGTGAAAGTCTGGTTTCTTGCACACCCGTCCACCCGTCTGCCTCTTTACTCTGACTTTTCTGTTATTTGTATCCCACACCTGCTTTTAGCGTTCTTAAATGACGCTACAGGGCTTCCTCCGGTGCGTTGCACTAAGGTCCTATGGGGGCTGCCGGTGCTATATTCTAAAGGCCGAAGTATACTTGTTCAGAACTAGTTCTTATGAGGTTTTTTTGGACCATAGCAGAAATAAAACTTGTTTTTATCTGTCCTGATGTCCACACTGGAACATGGAGTGAAAACCCGGCCATCATAGTGGGGGGGGGAGGTGCAGGATTGTTAACATATGGGGATACTGAGCACATTTTCAGACTGTCTCCTGGAAGGCATTCATAGCGTTGCACATGGTTGTTCACCAATCACTGCATGAAGTGAGTGTGATGTCAGATCATCAGTTGTGGAAAATTACAGAAAAGGTTGAACAGTGACAGTCTAGAAATAAACGTGTCAGTGCTATCTGGTAGACAAACTATTACAAGGAGCATATCTGTCTCCTTACAATTATCTACAACGGATTTGCAACAGCAGGAAAAGTCTGCTGACCATGATTTTGATTTTTCAACATAATGAGAAAACATTGTTAATTAATGGATCAGGCTAAATGTTGACATTGGACGTATCAGTAAAATGTTCCTACAGTATCTACTACAGCATTAATAAACTTATCATGGTTATGTTCAGGTAAACAGTTGTTTTGGTTAAATGTAAAAATATATACAGTAGGAATGGCAATCACAGGGAACCTCACAATACTACATCAATTCTGTGATAATAATATATTGCTAGACAATCCTGATACATTATCTCTAACTATGAATACAAAATGCCTGCGAAAAGGCAAACTGCAGGTACAATTCTTAAGTTGCTCAGTCTGTAAATTAAAACTACCAAACTACAGAGCAACTATGAAACATTATTATAAAAAATAAATATTTCTTTATAAAAAGGAACATAAAAATTCAAATTCACTGAATATACTGTTTTAAAAATAGAGCTAAAAATACAAAATGCTAAGATCTAGCTTTAGCTGTATTTTAGGCCACTGGGAATTTTGAGTTTGAGTTTTGACCCTTTGGGGTTGCAGTAGCTGGTCACTGTGGCGTGCTGAAGCTGCAGAGTATTAGCAGATCAAGCCAGTAAAGTTTGTAACTCTTTTCAAACACACAGGAGGCATCTACTTTAAGTATTTGTCCACCATGTGATTCAGGATCTTAAGCATGTGAAGCAAAATGTGTAGTTTATGTTAAGATTATATCATCGAGGTGCTGATGTCTGTTAGCATGGTATCAGAGATTCCTGTTATGTGTTAGTATTGAGGTTTTTATGTATCGATATGATGGGCTGGAGAATCTATACAATATTGTGGAAAAAAAGTATTGCAGTATGTGGCTGTACTGATGTTTTTGCAAAACCCTCAACAGATCAGCCGTAACATTATGACCACTGACAGGTGAAGTGAATAACACTGATTATCTGGTTACCATGTCACCTGTCAGTGGGTGGGATCTATCAGGTCGCAGGTGAACATCGTGACATCATAGTTGATGTGTTAGAAGCAGCAAAAAAGGGCAGCTTGAGGATTTGAGTCTGTTTGACAAGGACCAAACTGTGATGGCTAGAGGACTGGGTCAGAACATGTCCAAACAGGTCTGCAGGGGTCAGTACCTATCAGAAGTGGTCCAAGGAAGAAAAAGCGGTGAACCGGCGACAGGGTCATGGCTCATTGATGCACGTAGGGAGTGAAGGCTGGCCCCAGTGGTCCGATCCAACAGACGAGCTACTGTAGGTCAAATGAAGCTGGTTCTGATAGAAAGGTGTCAGAACACACAGTGGAGTCCATAACTTAACAAAGTGGGTTTGTTGACTAAACGTCACCACATGCAGGAATCAGGATGTGAAAACCAGCCTCCAGTCAGAGTTTACGTTCCGTTCTGTCAAAACAAATTAGTTGTATATAAATGTGATTTCTAAGGCTATATTTTTGAAGGTCATGGCATCTTGAATATCGTCATCCGTCCCCCTAAATAAGCTCTAATTAAGAACCTGTCCTTGATGAGATTTCTTCCTTGTGGGAAGGTTTCTGAGTCTTTTTGATTTCCATACAGCCCACAGTCTGATGACTGATGGATTAGTTGAAGTTTACAGTCCTCTAGCTAAACACTAATCCTCTACATGGTGGGTTTGATGGCTGTCCTAGGACCCTAACGTTAGTGTGGGAGCAGCCAGCATGTACGAGTCTCTGCTGGAACAAAATGAACGCTGAGTTTGTGTTTGACCTGTTTGATGGGGGGACAAGTTGAAAATCTTTTAAAGCAGATTACAATGGGCTTTCCTGTGTGTGTGTGTGTGTGTGTGTGTGCAGAATAGGGGAAATTGAATACAGTCTTCCCCTAATCCATATACGGTAGGACAAGGATAATGTTTAAATGTTTTATACATAGGAGGAATTTGCTGTGGTTATAACGTGCTACACGTAGACAAACATACAGTCAACATAAATAAATGTAGAAAACGTAACACGGCCATTGGTCATCGTCTAAAAATATATATTTTAATTAACAAATCATGGGAGCAAAAGATAAAAAATACATCAAGTTTGCAGGGTGGTGATGGGACAGTGGATGAGATACATGCTTTTGTTGTGAGAGATCCGGGTTCAATCCCCCACGATGCAAGACACTTAACCCCTCGTTCCTCCAGAGGTGTACGACCTCTGACATATATAGCAATTGTGAGTCGCTTTGGATAATAGCATCAGCTAAATGAATAAATGTAATGTAAAGTTTGTTATAATAAAAATATGTGCATGGTTAGTCATAGTCGTAAAAAAAGTCATAATTATTAGTTTGTCACACTTAAGATTTTCTGTAATGTCTGTTTTACCATAAAGTTTTAAAGCCACTTAGTCTGCCGAGTATCTTTCAGTTTTGACTCGTTGAATTTAATCCAACTTGCTTGTGAAAACTCAAAGTTGTCACAAGTCCGGGAGTGAAAACTGGTGATTAATTTCCAAAGTTGCACCTCAGACTGGTCCATTACCGTTTGATTCATACTCAAAATATGCATAAACTTGATGTGTTGACAACATTTTACCAAATATAAATTTGTGTTAAAGTTGTGTTTACACTTTGTAAATCAAGATTTTGATTTAATAATCAAATAATGAAAAGGTAATTCTAATCTTATATAATAAAACTTTTTATACTTTTTATTCTTTTACCGGTAGAAACAGCTGT